GCACAAAGTCAACCATGTCCAAAATGCATTTTTCTTCAAATGGGCCCAATTTTTTATGCTTGTATCTTGTTCCTAACATTGTCCACGACCCATGAACCATTCCATGCATCATTTGCTTATTTATTTGATTTATTTTGATTTTTAATCATTTAAAATCCAAATAAAATCAAATAAATGATATAAAAATAGTGAAGATTTGTTTTGATTTGATTTTGAAGTGAATCACAATCCAAATATGATGTATAATGCCAAAAGATTCGTGCAAGCTTGGAAAGGGAGGAAATATACACATTTGGAAATTTTTCAAGATTTGATTTTCCTCTTAAAGCCATGCCTTTATTCCTTGGATTTTTTCCATATATGTTAACCTAAATCAGTCCCATATATGCACACAATGCAGCCAAAGCAAAAAAAAACAAGGATTGAGTCGTGAAAGTCATAAGAATAAAACTCAAATTTTTGACAAAAAAGTGTGGTTCGAATTCTGAGTTAGAGGGAAATTCAAGTTGATTCAAAGCCAGCAATCAATTCCTGGGCGTGTATTGAAGTTATTCTAATCGCTCTCAAGCCATAAAACGCCCAGAATTGTAAGATACAAGACTCGTTCTTTCCATTTTTATTGATTCGCGATTACATGTGTATGCGCATTTTCAATGAAATTTAATCATGCATTCATGTTTATTATAAGGTTTTGATGCTATTTGAATGGTTTAATTGAGTTTTAAGTGCAGGAATAGCATGACGCCATTGTTAGGGTTTCAAGGTCCCAAATTGGGGACTCCTCGTAGAGGCAAAATTAAACCAAATTGTGGGTACCAATTAACTCAGGGCGTGATTTGAAATTGATCTACGCCTTTGGTTTTGATTTATCTTGCTGGTATTTTAGTTTTGAATCTTGCAGGGATGTAGCTACGGACAAAAACAGTCACTATAGCCTTTAGTGACTGTTTTGTCCGTAGGTAAAAGGCTGATACCTAAAACAACAGTTCTGAGGAAGGAGACGATGAGGTGGCTGACTACCATTGAAGGATTTGAAATTACGCGCGTTTTCTGGGCATAAGACGTGTCTTTCCATTATATTATTATTTGTTATTATATTAACAACTAAACAAAATAGCACGCATGGCAAAGGGTGACGCTAGTAAGAGGAAGGACCTGGGTTCGATCCCAGGTCCAGGCATTTTATTTATTTACCTAACACGCTTTGCAGGATTCCATAGTCCACGCAACCAAGTGCCTATCATGCACCACAAGATCCACACCATTGGATCATCTGCATCCCAGATCTGACGCCTCAAGCAAGCGGTCACATGGTGGACCTCCTAAAGGCCAGATCCACTGAATTCTGCGCAGGCTCTAGGCCAATAAAGATGGGCCTCTCACAAATTCAACTCCATACCCCCTGTTTACTAACAGCACCAGGCCCAATTTCTTTCTTTTTTTATTTTCTTTTGTTTTATTTATTTGATTGATTATTTTTTACAAAAAACAACAAAAATCATTTTTTATCAAATCAAAAATCATGGAAAATAAAATCATAAAAAATGTAGAATTAGGTTCTTTTATTCAAATTATTTTTTTTGAAAATAAATTAGTTTAATTAGATTAACTTGATTGTCTTTTTTTAATTAAAATTAACTAGAAATTAGGTTTCATTTGCAATTAAATCATTTTCTCAATAAAAAAATACACAAAAATATTTTTTAATTAATTAGATTCTTAGGCTTCTGATTTATTCTCGAATTTAATTCGTCTCGCACACATTTACTTATTTATAATTATTGTAACGGTTTCGAGGTTTGTAATAGATTAATTAGGATTTTAATTTCCGCATCTTTATTTTCAGTCAAATATTTATGTTTCTGCCCAAAAGTCTTGTAATAGTTAGGACTTTAATTTCTTGCACTTTTTAATTTCCGCAACAAAATTGCTAGATGTATGGATATTAGGATTGTATGCGAAATATAAATCAACGATTAAAAGGTAGATAACCCTAATTGTGCAAAGATAATTAACTGGAAAAAGCACACTTGCACATGCTCACTCCTAGGGTTTTCCCCACTCTGGTTGCCTTCGGTAAACAATCATGAAACATATGGAATTTTAGTGGTCGTCCTCTAGTTCCAAAAGATAAAAAATGACCCATTCAGATGTTGCCTCGGAAAGATCTTTAGGACTTTAGGGTAATCACTAAAGTTTCCTAACTATTGCTTTTGTGACCGTACTTGTTCCTTGGAATGTCCCTTAAAACTCCAATGATGGGGTTACCTACTCCTTAATAGTAGGATAGCAATGTCTAAAGGAAACGAGAACGAACAATCTTTTTTCGAGTAGGTAGAAAATCTTAAGAACATGCTCAAAACAACAAAAAAATTTCAGAAACACTTTCAAAACAGTTTTCAAAAACAAACTTCGTCACACTCTTGAGGACAGATACAAGGGTTGCCACGAAGTTAAACAAAAACTCTTCAAACACACACACAAGCAATTTAAAAATGAGCAAGTACCTAAGAGCCTATGAAAAACCACAGATATAAAGGGTGATAACACCTTCCCTTTCTATAATCTACCCCCCATACTCAGAAACATCTCGAAAAAAGGTTTTTCTGTTCTTTTTCCTTTTTCTTTGTTAGATGAAATAAAATTCGGTGGCGACTCTTGCTTACCGCGACATTTGCAAACAAAAAACACAAACTTGTATAACAGTCGGTTCTGCCACCGTATCACAGGGTCACAAAAGCAATAATTATGCACCAGCATCAGCATCAACTTCATTCTCTTCTCCTTCTCCATCAACATTAGCACCAACAGACACAATAATTTCACCACCAGCAACAACATTATTGCTTCCGTCAGCATGGTCTTCACTTGAGAAGATGTCACAATAATGTCTAGAACATGAGTTCCACCAAACAATTTATAATGCAAAGATAAAGGAGATTCCATTTTCTTAACACTATCAACAACTAATAAAATACCAGGATGTAGGTGGTATGATTGAGGGATTTTATTGACCCAAAAAATAGCAATAATTACTATAAGTCCTCATAGATACAAATCCCTAGTCTCCTTCTCAAGTTTTTAAACTGAACTGCATCTAGAGCTTTAGTAAAAATATCAGCAAGCTGATTTTCAGTGCTAACATGCTCAAGAGTTATGACTTTGTCTTCAACAAACTCTATAATAAAATGATGTTTGATATCAATGTGCTTAGTCCTACTATATTGAATAGGATTTTTGGAAATATTAATAGCACTCAAGTTGTCACAGAATATTGTCATGACATCATGTGTGACATTATACTCAGTAAACATCTGAATTATCCACACCAGTTGAGAGCAGCCACTACCTGCTGCTATGTACTCGGCTTCAGTAGTAGACAGAGAGACACAATTTTGTTTCTTGCTAAATGATAAAATCATATTGTTTCCCAAGAAGAAATCTCCTCTAGAGGTACTATTTGTATCATCAACACTTCCAACCCAATCAGCATCACAATACCCCATCAATATTGAATTTGAATCATGAGAATACAACATTCCATACTCTCATGTACCATACACATACTTCAGAATTCTTTTGACTTGATTGATGTGACTCACTTTGAGTTCTGCTTGATATCTAGCACAAACTCGAACAACAAAGGCTATATCTGGCTTGCTAGCTATAAGATATAGAAGACTACCAATCATGCTTCTATATAAACTCTGATAAACATTCACTCCCTTTTCATCTTTAGATAACTTCAAGTGTGTAGGAACATAAGTTCTCTTATGGCTGACATTCTCCATTCCAAATACACTATCGAAAATTTACATAAATCAGAAATTTTGCAAGGGTGTACCGGAAATCTTGTCTCTACTGAAAATTTCAAATCCTCTATCAAAAATTTCATCCAAAAATTATTTATATCTCAATAAAAATGATTCTGAAATAATTAAAATTGAGAGATATCATGTTTAATTTGGAGAGTGACATATTAAATTCTCGAACATAATAATGTGTTAAGCTATAAATATGATGTTAGTTAAACATATTTCAAATTCAGGCTACCATACTCTGCAAGAAAAATAATAGGCACACATTGATGAATTACAATAAGTATTTAATAATTTATTTGTTGCATAAAAATAACAATAAATAAATGCTTAATAACTTATAAATTCAAATATCCAGACAGCGATTTAGCAAGAGAAGATTTAGTTGAATTTTTCTGTCCAATGATTGTGTTAAAGCTTCAAAGCCAGGAAATCGACAAATAAAACATCTGATAACTTAGTATCTATCATGCAAGTTTGGTATTTACTTTTGTACGATGATATTCACTCACTAATTCTATTTTATCATTAATTCTTAGACAGACTCTTTCAACAAGTTAGAGAAAAAAAAACACATCTTGCAACTCACAATTTCTTTTTTGTGTTTACTTTTTTCCTAAACAAGTTTAAGAAAAAGGGTTAAAAAAATATATTTCAAATCTCTTTTAAATTATTAATGCATTTACAATATTATAAAAATACATATTAATTTTAATATTATCTTAATATGATGTAAATTTTACAAGTTTACTAATCGAGTTTACATCTCAAATTAATCATAGTAAAATTTACTTAAAAACTCAAGTCAAGTTAGTTTTTTTTTTTTTTTAATGGTTTCTATGGTTCAAAATTTATTACACTTTTTAAGATTAAGACACTAGTCAAACCAAATAACCTAGTTGGAGAATAGAAATAGATAGAGATACATAGGTGTATGTATAGTTCTAGCTATATATGTAATGTAAGAAAACATAAATAAAGAAATTAGCATATGCAACTATGCAAGAACAAATGCTTTAAAGCTAGGAAAAGAAGATACCAAAACCTTCCCACCAATTAGAGACAAAGAACCCAAAATTTTCCATTTCCCAAAACTCAAGTACTCTCATCCTTACACCATAATAAAACTCGCAAATTACCCTACATGGGTTGATTTTAATTTTTGTCACATCATTAATCTCCATGCCTTCCCCCCAAAACATTGACCAACAAGACCATCATCATGATCATGATCATGATCATAATCATAACCATCCTCAACCTCATCATAGAAAACCCAAAAAAAGAATAGTAACTCACCAAAATGGAAACACAAATTTCTTGATTTGGCTAGCCGCAATACTATGCACAATAATAGCCATAGGAGTTGTAATTGGAGGAGTTGTAGTGTTTGTTGGTTACATAGTTATTCATCCAAGAGTTCCTACAATAAGCATAGCAAATGCTCATTTAGATCTTTTCAAAAATGACTATGCTGGTCTTCTACAAACACAGATAAGCATAAGTGTGATGGCACAAAATGGAAACTTTAAGGCACATGCAACATTTTCAAATATAAAATTCAAACTTAGCTATCAAGGACAAGGTATAGCATATATGGTTGCCGATACTTTTGATGTTCCTAAGAATAATTCAAGGTTTTTGGATTATGTTGTTCAATCTTCTTCTATTCCTTTGACTCCTGATCAGGTGGAAGAAGTTGATGAGTCATGGAAGAGAAATATTGTTGGGTTTGATTTGAAAGGTGATGCTAGAACTCAATGGAGAATTGGACCTTTTGGTTCTTTTAAATTTGGTTGTAAACTTGAGTGTCTACTTAGATTTCATCCCTTGAATGGTAGTTATATTCCTTCACGTTGCACTTCTCAATCCAAATGATTATTATTTCTTTCTTTCCATTTTGTTTAGATTATTTTAATGTTGTTATGTATACACAAAATTGAACATGGATATATGTTCTTCTATGCTCTTTCCTCATACCAATTTAGTCAAGAATTTTACTTTTTAAATCGAGTAGAAATTAGTTCAGAGTTTACGATATTCACACACATATTGTACATTAATCACTTATGTAAGATCTTAGTGGTATGAGAATTAATAATTTAGTAGTACTAGTTTATGAAATTAATGATTGATGTTTTTTTTTTTTTTTGGTTTTATACTTTTAGAATTATTTGATATTAAATCGACAATCGAAAATATTAATGTGAATCAAAATTTTGAACTTAGGAAATTATTTTGTAAATTTGTTAATATTAAGGATTAAATTGTCTAATAAGTACATTTTTAAGGAACAAAATTGATTATTGTTTGTGTGTAATAGAATTAAGCCTTTGAGATTCTTTGCTTTTGTTGGAGATATTTCAATCATGCTTGATGACATAACATTATTATGTTCATAAAGACACTCTTTTTATGAGGCTTATGGCTTAAAGGTAGAGAGCAATATAAAAAAACAATGTGTTTTTATTTTTGAAATTATATATTGGTGCTTTGTAACTAGTTATCAACACACAACAATAGGAAAATTATACAAATTCATAGAAATCAAAGTTTTTGTCAAAAAAATAAATTAGGAATGTTTTGTTGATTGTAGTTTTCTTGGTTGGCTTGGAAAGGGTCATTCCTCCAAAGCTAAGCAACCTCAAAAAGGGAAAAATGTTATCAAAACCATTATCAATATTACTACCACCAACAGAGATAGGCATTGAATTGAACAAAGTGGAAGACGCCAGAAAAGCCAATCACATATGATATTATCACCTTTACTCTTTAATGCCTTGTGATTTAGACGTTTCAAAATGAGAATGTTGATTGCATCTATCGGTAGAATAAGGTTTATATAATTTATGAAAACAACTCTAATAATGTAACTAAATTTTGTGTCTAAATTTTATTCGAGCAAAAATTCGGTGGATGAGAATTTAATGAAAAGGGTGCAATGTAAACATTGTTAAAATCGTGATTTAAAATCTAAACTCTTAGATTTTATATTTTTAGATTGATATTTGATGTTAAATCATATGTAAAATTGTTTTAAAATAAAATTGTATATCGAAACGATTTTACACGATTTAAATCGCTCTAAAATTTGTAAAATCCTTTAAAATCGTGTAAAATCGTTGAATTTTACTCTTTAACTAGAAACAAATCTGTACTATCGCACGGGTCTCGTATGGATTCACATTACATTTATAGATTATTAAATTATTAAATATGTTACCATGTTTTCAGTTGAGTATATGTCTCATGTAAACCATGTTGGCATTTAACTCCATATTTGTAGCAAGCGTCGGTCCTATCAACAAATCATGTCTGCATGAACAAATAGGAAAGATTATATACTTCTTGAAATACATGGAAAATGTACATACTATATATTTTAATTCAAAATAGATTTTTAATTTGAATCGTAAAGTATAAGATATAAAGTTTACCAACTATCAAAGTGCTTGAAAGACTTCCTTGTACACAACATTAGTAGTAGTAGAACACGGTACATTCTCCTTGTCATGAATTAGGATTTTTAGCCCACTTTTGCTCTTAACTCTTGAAATTGCAACATATAATTGACCATGACTAAACACAGGAGTAGGCAAATACAATCCAACACTATCAAGAGATTGACCTTGTGACTTATTAATTGTCATTGCATAGGAGACAATAATCAGAAATTGTCTCCTAATCAACTTGAATTGCCAAGGTGAATCAGAAGGTGACATAGACATTCGTGGAATGTAAAAAATGTTACCTATGTTCTTTCCAGACATGATTTTTGCCTCAATGACATGATTTGCAAATCTTGTAACAATTAATCTTGTTCCGTTGCACAACCCATCGGCTTGGTCCAAATTTCTCATTAGCATAATAGGTGTACCAACCTTCAATTTGATCCTATGATTGGGAAGCCCTGACGTTCTTAATTTACTGAGAAATTCAGGAGTTAGAACTTCATATGCTTCAATATAACTTGAATCTGTTCTATCAATGGAATCAAAACTCAAATACTCTTTCTCTTCTCCTAAAAAAAAGTTTAAAAGCAAAACATAAGTAAATTAGTAAAACTACGTTCTTAAATATATATATATATATATATATATATATATATATATATATATATATATATATATATATATATATATATATATATATATATATATATATATATATATATATATATATATATATATATATATATTATGAATGTAATAATACAGTAAATATAAAACACATGTACCTGGTATCAAGTCTAATACATAATGATTGATTTTGTCCACAACTTCAATGGTTGAAGCAAGAATAGCCTTTCCTTGTAAGAATTCAACATCTTGATATTTTTCCAACAAATTGGGATATGTGTTTTCAACAATTGCTCTTATAGGATCATCAAAATTTGATATTAATAGCTCTTGAGGAATTTCAATATCAACCAAACCATCATTGGGTTCACAAATCTTACCATCACCCACATTTAAAATCCATTTTGAAAATTCCGCTAGTTCATTAGAACTTGTGTTGTCTCTTCCCTCTCGAAGTCTCATATTTTTTGATAATATTAAAACCTGGCAATAATCCCATACATAAGATGAACTAATTGATGCATGAACAATATCAGAACGCCCAGCTCTTGGAACAATAGGAAGAATCTGTCTAAAATCTCCTCCAAATACAACAACTTTTCCACCAAAAATAGTATTCTCAACACCCTTTTTGCTCATTACATCTTTAAGGGTTTTATCCAATGCTTCGAAGCAGTTCTTGTGAGACATAGGTGTCTCATCCCATATTATCACATCCGTTGCTTCAAATAATTGAGAATGTTCGGTGTCTTTGTCGATGTTGCAAGTTGAGTTGTCAAGCGTTGGCACATGTATTTTGAACTTTGAGTGTGCTGTTCTTCCACCCGGCAATAATAACGAAGCTATCCCACTTGAAGCAACAGTAAGAACAATTTTTTTTTGAGAACGAAGTGCACTTGATAGTGTTCTCCACATGAAAGTTTTACCAGTCCCTCCGTAACCATGCAATAAAAATACCCCTCCACTATGTTTGTTAACAGCATCCATGATTTTCTCAAATATCAAACGTTGTTCATCTATAAAATACAAACCAAGAATTATAAGTGCAAGGACAATAAAAATCATTTTTGTAATTCATAGTATAAAGAAAATAAATCACCTGTAAGGGCATGAAAAAGTTCTTGGAATTTCTGTTTCTCGGTATCGACATCGTAATTAAGTTCGTCATAAATAAGCCTATTGCCAACATGTTTTGTGATGTATGAATCTGGATACGGCATACATTTAAATTCATGCAAACTTCTTCGATTCGATTGCATCATGTTCTCAATCTCAATTAGTGTGAGATTCTTTAACTCATTGTCCGATAGCTGCAATTCTGTTAAAAAAATTTCATTAGTTTTCTATATAATTACATATGTATGATGCAACTGCTGTCGTGATGTTGAAATACATTGAACATAAATCAAACAGTTGATGTTGCGGCTGCGTGAAATTAAATGGAACCAAAGACACTGTTGCAGCTGCAAGTTAAGAAAATAACTTACATACATGACAAATGACAAATATGAAAATGTTTCTTACGTAAATGGACATACCTTATGAAACATATTAAATAAGGGACATATGGATGAAGAATAATTATATTTTACAGTAAGTTCATATCATTATATTTTGTAATAAAAAAAGATACAGCTTGCATTCGGAAAATAATATTTGTTGACTTAAAAAAGTTTAATAAAGTGTTCATACCTCTTCTATTTGTTTTTTGCCTTTGTTGGTAGAGGATACCATCAGATAACGTCCTCCAAGTTTTTTCCCAAACATGTCGTGGTCTATTGACAGTACCAGATAGTAATATAGTGACAAATAACTTTCGTAAAAAATGCCCGGAACCCCAATTCTTTGCTTCGTCGATGGCTGCAACATATTCCTTATCATCGTTAAGAAAGCCCATTTCGAAGCATGCATCCCTAAAAGAATCCTGAACTTTTCCACCCATAAATTTTATATCCTCATAGCAAGTTGGACCTTTGACGACTGTTAGCATCATTCTCAAGAAATATAACTCACCCGTACTTGGAGGGACCCAAATAAGTCTGCCAATTGTATTTCCTCTTTTACGCGGTCTCCATCGACGGTATCTTTTATCATAAACAAATTTGGAAAGAAATTGTGAGTACGTCAAATTCTTTGCCTCTAGGTATGCTTTGTTTGCTTCCATCCATGCCGTAAACATAGATTCTTTCACAGTTGGTTTGTCAAGCACCTCATCTATCAATTCATAATCGGTATAATAAACAGAGTTGTCTCCTTCAAGATGAAAGAACAACCTTTCAACTGCGGGTGATCTACCATGAATAGGAAATGAAAAAAGTCTCCAACATGCCTCACTTGGTGAGATATATCTGCAATCAAGATATTGCTTGATTTCGTCAACCATTCTGACCGAGGGAGATCCATCACCGTCAGTTTGGACAACAACAACAGTAATTCTATCATACCCCTTGTTAATATACTTAAATAAGTATTTAACTGAAGTACTTTGATTACACCACTCCATATTGATGTGTGCTTGGAATTTCTTCAACAAATATGGATTGTAAGGAACTACATATCTGTTATCAAGTTGAACGTGTTTTTTCAGCACTGTATTACCAGTTTCTCTTCTTCGGTACACGGGATATCCATCCTGATCAACAATGGTTTCGGTTTGATATTTCTTTGGAAAGTATTTTGAGCACTTTCCATTTTTCATGCAAGTTGAATTCGCATTTGCTAAACCACATGGGCCATGAATCATATGTGTCTTGACCAAATGGTAGAGTTGCCTATCATCTTCTTTCGTTGGTATCTCTG